GCGCGCCCTACCTGCGCCCCACACCTCCAGCGCGGCGGGCAGGGCCGCCCGCGTGGCCGCGTCCACGGGCACCGCGCACGTGTAGAGCGACGGCACGTTGCAGGCCTTGCTGGTTTGCACGGCCTTGAGGCGAAAGCGGCGGGCGAAGCCTGCGCACGGGCCGGGCGTCAGAGGCGGGCGAGCCGGGGAGGCCGGCGCCGCGCCGGCACGCGCACCCACCCTGCTCCAGCTCCGCTTCCCGCTGCGCCGCGTTCTCCTGGTCCCGCACGACGGAGCGCGCGGCCAGGCGGTGCAGCGGCTGCTCCCATGTCCCGCGCGCCCGCGCCGGCGGCTCCTCCTTGCCCGGCTCATCCCGCGGGCGCAGCAGCGCTTCCAGCGAGGCCGACACTTCCCAGGACACCGGCTTGCCCGCCCGCAGCGCGTGGATCACCACCTGGCAGCGCAGCGGCGCGCTGCCCTCGCCCGGGCCCGGCTCCCTCCCCTCGGAGGCCGGCGACGCGCTGAAGAGGTAGGAGGGCTCCACCAGCATGTCCCAGTCCAGGTGGGTCGGCGAGAGCAGGTTGTCTGCGCGGGAGCGAGGGCCGGTGTCAGCAGGAGCGGCCGGGCCCGGCTCGGCGGAGAGCCGCGCGGAGCCGCCGCTCACTTGACTCCGCCGCGCTCCGCTGCAGCCGCTGCGTCGTGGGGCCCAGCTCCTCCAGCTTGCCCTCCAGCGACTGGTTCCTCTGCTGCGAGACCTTCTCGAGCGCCCGGCGGAGCCGGTGCGCGTCCAGCTCGCCGTGCGGCGAGGAGAAGCTGCGCCCGGCCAGCGCGGCCCGCGCCAGCGCCTTCCTCCTGCGCGCCAGCTCCTCGGCGCTCCGCGACGCCGGCACCTGCCCAGGGAGGCACCTGCAGCCCCCGCGGCTCCCGGCCTGCGCCCCAGGGCGCTGCTGCCGTCCCCTTGGGCTCCCAGGGGGTGACACCCAGCGTCGGCCGGGCCCCCAAAGCCGACAGGCTCCCAGCTGTGCCAGCGGTGCTCGGATATGCAAGGGAAGGGCTAGCTGCAGCATGCAATGAGYGTGCAAACAACCCCGGGGTTTGAGCCATCCTGGCATTGAGATAGGCTTGGATTTGTCCCTTTTTACACATACAGGAGGCTCAGTTTGGTTAGGACAGGATGGACTGTGCTGCAATCACCCTAAGGGGAAAGGGTTAGTGGCACAAAGAAAGAGCTCAGCTAAAAACCTTGGGGCGGGAATAACATCTCCCAGCAAAGGAGYGCTGAGAGGAGAGCAGGGAAGCGCTGTGGCTGTGCTGGGAAGGTAGCACCTGCRTGTAAATGTCGCCAGCTTGTGAGGAGCTGGAAATGCGAGGAACCGCTCGCTGCTCCCTCACTCTGCTGCCAAGCCGGAGGGCTGAGGAGCTGCTACCGGGGCGCATTGGGATCCGACGGGGATCACTGCTTGGGTGCCGGGATGGGCAGCCAGCCGGGCGCCAGCACCCGTTCCCCCGGTGCCAGGGCTCACGCGGCCGGAGGGCTCCCACGCCTGACATTTGCGTTGCAAAGGCCACCAGCTGTGCTGGTTGTGCAAGCGCAGCCGGAGGCGGGAGCCTGGGGACAGGCGGCCCTACCTGGCGCCGTGGCCGGAGCCCTCGCGGCGGGGCGGCCGTCCCCAGGGCCGCTATCCGGCCCGGCCGGACCCGCGGGGCCGTGGCCGAGGGCTGCAGGGAGCCGGGCAGGAGCCCAGCGATCCCCATGCCTGGAGCGGGGCCGGCTCTTCCTCTCGCTCCGCAGCACGGGGCAGGCGGCAGGCACCGGCGCTGCTTAAGGCAGCTGGGCAGGCAGCGCTTCCACCTCCGCTGCCCGGTTCCCACAGGGCAAAGCCGCTGGAGAAGCTTCCAGCCCAGCCCTCCGCGCTCCAGCCGCTGCCTCCGGGCCGGCAAGAGCCCCRTGGGGGCAGGGGAGACCCC